CAGGGAGGGAAAGCCTACCTCCTGGTAGTTAATGTCAGTATCCTACTAAAGAGAGGTGTATGTTCTAATACAAGCAGTAGTGGAAGGTCAGATTTCCAAATGTGTTTTGGACTGTCTACACTTACATTTTTATGGGTTTGCATAAAAGAAGCAGAACCTGAGTAGAAGTGGGAATCTGGAGCGACCCCACCTGGGCTTTATCATCCTGAACGCAGTAGGGATAAAATCACTCCCATCTTTATGACACTCATCCATTCGTCTCTTTGTGGTTGGCTTAAAACCAAGACCTAGAGGTACAAGGATGATCCTATTCCTGACACAAAGTAGATTGTAATCAGGTAAAAAGGACAGGCATGTATGGAACAGAAAATAAAGCTATGATGCAAGGGTACACAGGGCTACAAGAATGTGGAAGAGGAACAAGCATCTGTGGTTTGGGACATAATCAGAGAAAGTCCTCCAGTTGTAGAATGGTCAAATAAAGGAAGGCTTTAAGGACTTATCAAAACAGGATTCGTACGGTATAACAAACTGAAATTAGAAGCATTCTCAATATGAATAAGTCTTTAAATGGGAGGAAAAACTGGAGAGGTGTGCATATTATAATGTTTTTTCACTGAGAGTAGACCATAAGTGTTCTCTATCTTAGTTCTGTTTTAGTTTGTCTTGTTGTGTTTGCTTGGTTTTTGCTTTGTACACATGCTACTGCTCTGTAATGGAAAAACATATACAAATATTGAATGTAAGCAGCCTTACCCTGCCCACAAGCACAGGGTCAGGCCCAGTGTACTCCTCTATCACAAAGAACTGGTTCCAGACCCAGCCTCTCTTGGAACGCTGCAGTACTTGGCCCTCCTTGCCCTTCTCGTGGTGTCCACGGAGTGATGGCCTCAGGTGGCTTCTTCGCTCCAGAGCAAATGCCTGGCTATGGTATAGCATGCTCAGGCACACCAGGGCAGCTTGTAAACAGTAGTTCTCCTTCATTTTTGGTTATGTGGTAGGCACAGGAGAATGCAGCTGTCACCTCCTTACACCAACAAAGTGTCAGTCTTTTAGATGGTGGCCTCTCAGATGTGTCAAGTAGAACTCTCTTGGAACAGAATGTCTTTGCTCACCAAGGACATCACGTCAATGCTCCCCGTTTTCCCAGTTGGCTTCTGCAAGCACAGAGAGGTTGGGTTAGTTGCAGGCTTTATCCTCACATCATTTCATTTCCATCTAGCAAACTCGTTGGTTTGAATGTCAGTTTACCACTTGCCAGTTTGGGGAAAGCTTACTGATTTCTTTGAGCTCAGCTGGATCATTTCTGAAGTGGAGATAAGAATAACATTCATTGTAAGGTTGTCGCAGAGATTAAATGAAAAAAAAAAATACATATATATATATATATGTGATTCCCTTAGCAAAATATCTGGTATGTGGTAAGCACTCTGAATTCACCTGCTATAATTGGTCATAACTGTGCTTGGCTAGGTGCATGGACTAGATAAACTTGGATATTGAGGGATCCCAGGAAAGGAACATGGAATCCACACTAAAGATGACAGAGGCTCAGGCAGTTAAGGGAGGCTTCTTAGAGAATGGAGTGGCTGGGCTCAATCATGAAGTGAAAGTTACTACGGAAAAGAATTGAGAGTTTGGAATATCATGCAAATAAAAAAACAAAAAGTCCCAACCCATAGAGGAAGTCAAACACATGGCATACAACAAGACTTCAGTAGGAATGAAAATACAAGGAAGTTATACGAGGGACCTTCTACAGAGGGAAGGTCAAGACAGACCTAGGAATGATGATGGTCATTAAATAATAAGTCATAAGTCATAATAACAAATAATAGGTCAAGGTTGTGTTCCTACGCACACCTGTAATCCCAAAACTCAGTAATTGAGTTACTCAGTTTCTCAGTAGGCAGAGGCCGAAGAATCACTACAAGTATGAGGAGTTTGCAATTAATGCAATCTACACAGTAAATCCCTGGCCAGCCCTATATAGCCCAATGCAGCAAGGCCCTACTAAAAAAAAATAGGTATATTCTCATTGACTATTGTGGATCAATTAATTAGAGGTGTAGTGATGAATTAACACTGCAGTGTTAACTAATAGGTCAAATTCTCATTGACCCAGTGGTGAATCTATTAAAACTACAGAAGTCAATTACAGTTACAGAGTCAATTACGGTTACAGGGTCAATTCAATAAGCAAGATTTGCTCTTTCCTGGCCAAAAGTGCCTCCTCATCAGCCCAAGATCCTGTCTAGTTAGACAGTTTTACACAGGAGGCTTTAAAACTTTACTCTAACCAGAAGAAACAGTATAGGACAGTAAGTCCTGTAACTGGTCCAGTTTTGTCCTTCCTGATAGTCAGCCATCATGCTCCACTATTCATCAGCATAAGAAGGCACCTTTCCAAATCCCTTGTAGATACCTGACCTATCCTGTTCTTAGACTTCTTCATTGATCTTAGCATCTCCAGTTCTGGAAACAAATTCTCTCTAAAGTAATTTCTTTGCTTGCTTTCCTCTCCTAAAACTCTTACTTTCTTTGCAGAAGCATCTGCTGCTTTTTGAGGATACCCCAGATGCCAGGTGGGACCCCAGCTCTCAAAAACACATGCATTCTTCATCATCAGGGATCTGAGAAACCTGCTGTACATCAAAGAGGGCACACTGCTATTAAAACGATACTTCCTTTAAGCACTGGTAGGTCTAAATGGAACTGGTGAGCTTACTGAGATCCAGGGAACAGTTAGAATTACTTAATTTTGTGTTATTTGGTTTGGGTGAAGTGGTCAGGGAAAATAGAAGCAGGAAGGAAACAGCACAGATCTTGGCATCCTGGAGGGTAAGCTAACTTGGAGATTAGCTTGACCTGGTTGAAGTATCACTTATATATTTAATAAGCAGTGTGGCTTTCCCCATTTCGGTCAATCACTCTGAACCTCTGTGATCTCTAGAACATGAAAAGAACTGGTGTATCCACACAGGAATAAACAAAGAATATGGGCCTGGTTTCTTCCTCTTTACTGACGCTGTGCTGACATACACCAGCTTCACCTTCAACATGCAGCCCAAGTTTACAAGTTTTGCTCACCAAATTGTGTACCTGTGCCTTGAAACTGAAGACGACAAAAAAAAAATGCTAATAAGGGGCTCTCTCAAGAGCTAACAGTTATAAGGTACACTGTAGCCATCTGGCCTAAGCAGTGTAGGAAATAAGGGGACTGATATAATTCTTACTCACTGATACAAATCCTTCCCCCCTTAAAAATCTTTGATTTGGCCAACCCACGCTATTCGTCTTTCTCGGATGCCAAGATGGCATCTAGAGAGGCTACAGATACATTGTTAAATCTTTCTGTCTACCACCTTTCAAATAAAATTTTGCAATGATATTGTGTTCGTCTGTTCTCCAAGAACAGGGAGTTGAAACCTTTAGCATTTGTTGCATATAGACAGTTTCTAGGTGGGTAAAGCTTAGTTGGGAGAACGGGGGTTAAAAAGGCAGTGCTGGCGCACACCGGCTTGACCTTCAACATGCATCATTTTAAAGATTTTTTTTTTAAATCATGTGTATAAATGTGTCTGCATGTGGATATGTGCATACACCTTCAACATGCATCATTTTAAAGATTTTTTTTTTTAAATCATGTGTATAAATGTGTCTGCATGTGGATATGTGCATATGTGTGCATGTGCCTTCAGAGGCCAGAAGAGGGGATGGATCTCCTGGTGCCAGAATTACAAGCAGTTGTGAGCAGCCTGAGTTGGTTGCTGGGAACCAAACTTGGGTCCTCTGCAAGAGCAGCAAGTGCTCTTAACCATGGTGTCATTTTGCTCACCCTCAACATTTTAATAATGCACCAAATACTGTTTGCAGAAAGCCCAAGGGGCTATGTGGAAAGTGAAGTCAGAGGGCCCACCAGGAGACAGATCTTAAGGTGAAGCCATAGGCAGCAACAGGAAGAACTACTCTGGGCTTATCTGAGGAAGGCTGAGATTTGCTCAAAAACCCACCACTAATTCTCATGGGACCTCGCCAGTTCCCCTCTGTAAGACTGTTTCACCTTCTAAAATATGAAACTTTGGGGGTTGGAGAGATGGGTCAGCAGTTAAGAGCACTGCCTGCTCTTACAGAGGATCCTGGTTCAATTCCTAGGACCCATGTGGCAGCTAACAGCCATCTGTAGCTACAGTTCCAGGGAATCTGACACCTTCTTCTGCCCTGTGTGGGCACTGCACTACATGGGCGCACTTACATGCATGCAGGCAATATACATAGACACATAACATAAAAATAATAGATAAGATATTTTAAAATATGAAACTCTTGAATGAAATCTTCCATCAGTGGCTTACCACTTCTTATTAGTGCTTAGATTTCTAATGAGAGATTGTGGGGCCTTTCTTCTAAATCAGATTCTGTGTCTTTCTTCAGGTGGTAGCCTATTAATATTTGGGATTAAGTCTTATGTACCACACACGTCTAGGACATGAGGTTGGAGTAGGCCATCCATAAAACCTGAGCTTAAGATTTCAGCTACACATCTGAACTGCAGACTGACTCTATGCGAATTCTAGACGCCAGGAAAAGGAAAGGATACATGGTGCAAAATCCCTGCCCATTTGTACCATGCCACGTATAAAGTGTTCATTCAAGGGGTGATAAATTATTCCTACATACAAACTGTGAAGCGTATTTGAAAGAAAGGGTTTAATTAAAGTTGATATTTCTGCACCTCTCTTTTTCTGGCTGCCATTTTGCTGTAAAGCACAATTATTTCTGACACTAAAGTGTTGAAACTACATGACAACTCTTCCACTTTATAAAAAGTCTAGTTTAATTCTAATGAGTAAGAGTTTCCATGTGACCAATAAACAACAAGCCTTACCCTTTGTTAAAAAGATAACATTGTAAATTGTTCCATTGGGAAAAAAAAATAGCAAAACCAATCTTCTTTAAAAAGCAACTAATTGGACTCCTGATTTTTAAGGGTTTATATGATCAAGTATAATATAGAAGTTATCTTAATGATTTGCTTTGTATAAGTTGAATTTTAAGACATTTATTCATTTTTATAATAAAAATCTTTACTAATTACCAAATTGTTTTTTATGCTAGTCACTGTTTTAAAAACCTCACAAATATTATTGATTAGTATTATAATCTTATTAAGAGTAAGCAGGAATATTCTTGCTTTTAAAGGATAAAAAATTGGGAGCCAGACAAATTTAACATAACAGTGTGCTACCATACAGTTCTAGTAACAGCTAGGTTGGTATTTGAACCCAGGCAATCTGGCTCTAATGTCTATTTTGAACCACTGAACAATATTTTCTATCACCTGTATTTGTTTTTAAATTGCTTAAAGAAATTATACGGACACTGTGATTTTATTAAATATTTGTTCATTATTTTTATTTAATGTGCATGACTGTAATGCCTGCATGTAGGTGGGTGCACCCATGCCATGCAATCCCCACAGAGGTCAGGAGAAGGCATTGGATTCCCTGGAACTAGAGTTAAGGATAGTTGTAAGGCACCATGTACATCCTAGGAATAGAGCACCGGTCCTCTGCAAGAGCAGCCAGTGCCCTTAACCGCTGAGCCATTTCTCCAGTCTCTAACACTGTGATTTAAAAAAAAAACAACAAAAAAAAACTTAACCCAGAAGTCACCTGAATGTGGGATATAAGCAGAGATTAGGATTTGTTGTATCCCCATAAGAAGACTATGATGAAAAACAATTACTAATACTTGTCTGTGTTATCTGCCAAACTTTCTTAGAAGATTTTCCGTGAGTAACGTCCTCACAAGAACCCTACGAAGCTGTAGTATGGCTGTTTCCATTATACAAGTAAGTGAAGTGAGACAGCCAGGGGAGGAGCTAGAATGGAACCCTGTGGATGTGTGTGGCTCCCGAACATGGATTCCCAGCCCTACCATTCTATCTGACCCTGCCTCTCTAAGAGAGGGACAAAGATCAAATACAGAAATACATCTCCATGTGTACACAACTGCTATATCATGATAATAATTTTAAGAGTTGAGAGCATGAAGTAAGTGAAAAGACTATGAGAAAAAATTAGCTAAACCAGAAAAAAAGAGACAGCATTTCATAATAATGATGAAATTATGCTAAACAAGAGGGATTACAAAG